AACTATAGGTTGCATGTTCCAATCCCACAAAATAAAAAGGGTAGCATGGGATCATAAGAAAATTTTTTGTAGGTTTACTTATAAGGGTAATTTCAAGTCAAATTTTATTTATCTAGTATATGTCAATACCTATTAATATTATGTATAAAATAATTCAATCCATAAAAAATATATACAAAAGCGATCCTAGACCTATATATTAATAATTGATAAAAGATATTTAAGTCAAACCCAAAACATAAAGTTTAGAATATTAAAAAAATCAAATTTAATTCAATTGCAACAATTAGTGACTAATCTTGTATAATTATACTGCCTAGTTCCATTATAATAATTTGCATTTTGTGCAGATGGAGGTTTCAAGGTTTCATTTAATATGATGGTTATTCAATTGCAAATGTATGTATGTATGTATGTATATATATATATAGTAACCCTCCCTAAAACACTAAAAAAAAAAAAAATCCAAAAGTAAGTTTTTAACATTATATTTCGAAATATATTGGCAATATTACATTAATGTTAAAATTAGGAGAAGCAAGAGAGAATTTTTGAAGTTAATGGGCACTAATTGAAACTGTTAGGAACTTTAAGAGAGATTCATGAGATTATCCCATACTATTATTGTCATAATTTGTTAGATATTGAGATGGGTAATTGCACATATCTCCCTTTAGGTTCATGACAACTATAGTCACTTTCCTTCGGGTTTGCAAAAGCACAGATGCATCCTTTGGTGATATGGAATGACCATTATAATCTCTACAAAACATATAAATTTCATTCAAAAGTTGATAATAAAAAGTGTAAAACTGAAAACAAAGCCATTTAGGCAAAGGCAAAGCTCCATCAATCAAAAACGATGAAAAATGTGGAAAGTTTATGAGATTCGACCGGAAGGTACTGAGCATAAGAGAGTTGCAGATTTGGAAAAGCAAAGTCGTCTGTTTAGACACTCCGAACATAAGAGAGTTGTGTGGTTAGAATAGAAACTTTTAGAATGTGGAAGCTCATACGCGAGACAAGTTTTCTCCAAAGGTTTTTTTTTTTTTTAATCGACACAAGGGTGTCCGGGTCAATCCTTACGGGATCCGACTAATCCTTTGCGGCCTAGGCCCGACGCCCTAACTCGACCCTAGCACGTTAAGTTTTCTCCAAAGATTTAGTCTATATGTATATATATAATATAAAAACATTTTTGCCTGAAAATCAATTTACGTACAAAGGTGGAAAGTAGAAACAACTTATCGGACCTTAGGGGGCCTTAACCAGCTCAGCCATTCATTCTACCACTCTTTTTTCTTTCGTTCCTCTTCTTTCCTTTTTTTTTTTTAAAAAAAAAATTAAAAAAAAATTTCTGTCGTAGCAAACTGGCAGAATCGTAGCTCTAATGGCCCAGTTGAAAGCCCCCTGTATTGGTCGCTAAATTTAAGAACATTTCGAATCCTAAAGCCCAAACTTATTTGAGTTGATTCAATTCCACTTTTTTGGCATCTGAATTCCAGCCTCTTTAACTAAGTTCAAATTTATTTTATTTTATTCTTTATAAAATTTTCCCTTTTTAATCAGAAAAAACTATCTCCTGAAGCTTTCTTTCCTTTTTATGGTCACCTCCTACCCCTGAAAAAATAATCTTCCGCTATATCTTTTACTTTTTCTAGAATGTAAGGGTGTGTTCGGACTGCTCATTATTTGCAAAAATATATTTGATTACATTATATATAAATACATTTATCAACCATCTTTTCATTTCACATATATCATATAAAAAAGAAAGTGCTACAATAATTTTTTCAAGAAATTATTTCAAATAATCTCTTATATCCAAATACACACAAAGAAAGGCAAGTTTCAAATTGTATGGTTAATGCTTCGTTCGTTGTAACAACCAGATGTGGAAATTAAACCTTTAGCAGTTATTCGATACTCAGCCAAGCATGTGTCTGGCTGCATCAAAATATGGAGCTGCTGCTGGTGATCAAGTGCATTCAGATGATGACGGCAACAAAAGCAGCAGAACTAGTCCGGATTACCTTGAGCCCTTGAGAGTTTTTTGAATATGGTGGAGCCGGCAGACAGTTCTTTGACATCCCCTCAAGAATGGGACAGCTTGGAATCTAATGGTCTATTGGATAACCAGCCAAGCAGCAGCTACAGATGATGATGATGATGATGATGATAATGATGATGATGATGATGATGAAGAAGAGGGCAGCCAGCCTCTTAGGGAGGAAAAGAGGAAACACAGTCGAATAATAATTGTCAAAGTACGTCCCATTAGTGTGCATCAAGGTGTAGGAGTCCGAGAGGGACAAGTGGTTGTTGATAATGGAGACTCGTTATGACGTGCTGAACATTATCAATAGATACGCCATAGAATAGAAGCTGTGTATAATTTGGTGCCCCGCCCCGGAAGCTAAGGCATTGAGATCGAGACCACAAATGAATTGTGCATTGAGAATTAACTGAATTATCAAATACTACATACTCCCTCCGTTCCTTATTAGATGTCCTAATCCATTGTTTCTTTTTATCTGTCATTTTATGATATCAAGAAAGCATTTATGAACTTTTTTCCAAATTTACCCTTGCTTACCCTTTCAACTTTCTTGAATTGGAACTCTAAATAATTAAATGCAGTATTTGTAGCATTAACAATAAAAGTAGTTGAAGAGATGAAGAGAGATAAAGGGTAATTTTGAGAAGTAAAGTTAAACTTTTGTTGACTTTTAGAAAATAACCAACTTTCTTAATCTAAGAGAATTAGTTATCAGGCCATCTAATAAGGAACGGAGGGAGTATATTGTAGGCATTTGGCATGGAAAGCAGTGTGAAATCTTTAGCATCAACACCACTTGCTGATGATTTTGATGAATTAACTGATGAAGCTTACACAACAATAACGAGGCATATGATCCCAAGAAACTAATTCTCTTAGATTAAGAAAGTTGGTTATTTTCTAAAAGTCAACAAAAGTTTAACTTTACTTCTCAAAATTACCCTTTATCTCTCTTCATCTCTTCAACTACTTTTATTGTTAATGCTACAAATACTGCATTTAATTATTTAGAGTTCCAATTCAAGAAAGTTGAAAGGGTAAGCAAGGGTAAATTTGGAAAAAAGTTCATAAATGCTTTTTTGATATCATAAAATGATAGATAAAAAGAAACAATGGATTAGGACATCTAATAAGGAACGGAGGGAGTATATTGTAGGCATTTGGCATGGAAAGCAGTGTGAAATCTTTAGCATCAACACCACTTGCTGATGATTTTGATGAATTAACTGATGAAGCTTACACAACAATAACGAGGCATATGATCCCAAGACAAAACAGCTAGCTACGGATTTAAATCACAAAAAAAATTCATCGGTTGGTCCAGCCGATCAGAGCATCTTTCAATTTTGTAGCTGAGAGATCATGATGTATAGCCATCTGCATTCTTCGCAACAATCCTCTATTTCTTGTAAGACCTCCTCAGTCAATCTTCCAAAACCCAAAAAAAAAAAGAGTCTCTAAATACTAGGTAGCCAACAACGACAATGGATTGCATGCATGTGGTCTGGTTTTTAAGCACTATTCTATACTTTGGCTTTGATCCGAAATGCGTAGTAGTAATATGGAAGGACTTGAAAAACCTCAAACACAAAAGAATAGCACGTCTATGGATGGATGCCTCTCCTAGAGACTTTGAAGGTTTAATGGACTTTTAGTAGCGTATGGTTGAACCAAATTTAGCCATTTAATTACCCTAACAATCCATTTGGATTATTATTTTTTAAAATTTTATAAAAAATATATATTATAGCGATTTAATAGTAATATGGAATAAGAGGAAGGTTGAAAAATATATTTGTAAAAAAAAAATATAAAAACCCTTTTTATTAGTATTAGTTAAAAACGCATTATTGGTAACGTCCGTTTACGGTAACCACTGGGGATTGGCCCAGTGGCCACCAGGGAGGGACTTAAGTCCCTCCTTGTGCTGTTGGTGAGGGTTCAAATCTTACCAGCAGCGAAAAAAATCTAAGGGTTGTGTCATAGCACTCCCTTGGTCTAGTTGGGTCTGTATACCCACTAGTAGAGCTGTAAACGAACCGAAACGAACCGAGTATCTCATGTTTGAGCTCTGTTCGTTAAGCTATTCGAACTCCGTTCGTGTTCGTTCGTTAACTTTTGAACTCTAAACCTGTGTTCGTGTTCGGCTCGTTAAGTAAAGTTCGTGTTCGTGTTCGGCTCGTTTAACATAAATGAGCCGTTCGCGAACACGCTCGAAAAGTTCGAATCCAGATTATTTTAGGCCTTAAATATGCCACACAAATCATTAATCATCCTAAAAAATAATTAAAATACTAAATGACTAAATTCCATTATTCAATAACTTATAACTGCATAACCAACATTAACATAAAAACAACAAATAAAACAAAGTAATTTGTCCTTCAAATATAAAAATTCAGCCATAAGACAAGTACAAATTTTCAGCAGCGGCCAACGGGGAAGGAAAACAAAAGTAAGGTTGGAAAGGGAAGGGGAAAGTTTTAGAATTTCTTATGAGTAACCCTAAAATTTGTCAAATGATAATTATGTCCTTGTTCGCGAACGCTCGTTAAAATTCGCGAACATGTTCGTGTTCGCTCGATTATTAAACGAACAAAAAAATTCGTTCGTGTTCGTTCGTTTAAGACTTTCGAACGAGCCTTTAACGAACACGAACGAGCCGAAACGAACCGAGCTAACGAACAGCTCGGTTCGTTTAACAGCTCTACCCACTAGCTCCTACCACAGCCTCTTTAGGCTTCCCCTCCCCCTAGATTAGGATAAAATAGGTTATACAAATGTATCGTTGCTGACAAAAAAAAAAAAAGTAACGTCCGTTTACTGCTCCAAGCCTCCAACTAGTTTTACTACTGCCACCACCAGCACTACTAATACCACTCTACTTTCTCTGCTTCCAAGAAAACCACAGTTACCACTACCAGTACTAGTACAGCCACTGGTAAAAACGTCTATCTTGCCTTTCAACCTTTTTCCCAGCAATTGGGGGCGGTGGTCGCGGCCCGAATCCTCCCAATTTTGTCTTCTCCGATGAAAAAATGAACGACTTGCCCTTCAAAAACGCCGGGTCGAGGGTTGTAGGAGAAGAACAACAAGGAGAAGGAGAAGAGCAAGGCTGCTTTGGTAGCTGCAATCCCATCATCCCAACACCAGCAATCTACCTGCTGCTCTTACTGTTCACACTGGGACTGGGGTTCTCAATTTTCATCCTCGTTGTGGTCCACAACGCCCTCTTCTTCCTTGTGCTCCTCTGCTTCTCCGCTCTACTCGCCGCATTTCTCCTTTGGAACTCTCTCAATAATTCCGGCAGCAGCTGCACCAGCCGGAGAAATGGGGCCCTTCTCTCTTACCTCCATTTCTTCCCCGATTCTGACCTCAGTCTCGCAGCTCCAGGCCAGCTCGTCAAACTCACTGGCGTAATTCTTGCTTTTCTATTTCCTACTTCTACCTTACTACTAAGTTGATCTTTTAGCATCCCACAATTATTTCCCGACCTTTTTAAAAAAAAAAAAAAAAAAAAAAAGCTTATTTCGATCCAGCCTCGCAAAAGTTTTCATCTATCAGTAACTAATGTAAAAGGTGGATGCATCATCCATGGCATTGATTCACTTCACAAACGGGACTGCCTCCATTACCCCGATTATCAAGCGTTCTGTTTTCGTTTACCTTCACATAATTTTCGTGTTAAGCAAAAGATAGACAGAAAAATGACCAAGGATGCATACGAGAGCATAAAAGATGTTCTTTTTTCTTCGCTTCCACACCTACCCCTTCAAATTTGCAAAATCCCACCTCATTTTGTCAAATTTCACTAGGTAAAGATGGAAACCATTACTTACTTCTAGCATATGTTCATTCGGTCTTCTCCTGTTTGTAGTAAAGGTGGTTTTTCGTGTCGCTGTTCAAGTTATTGTTATTTGCCGAAATTTTGTGTTCAATAAGCTGGCGAGGTGCATATAGATAGATTACTTGCCTAACTTTAACTTGCTAACAGATGATGGCGCTTGTAGTTGCTCTAAGAACATTCCTTGACACACTAACGAAGTACATTCAGAAGTCGTACCTATACTTTGTGCCTCAATCATAAATGTGTGGTTCTTCGTTCAAAGGCTTCCTGTTCTAGTTATACCAAACTAATAAATGGATATTCTCGGTCCAACTCTGTTGTAGGCCAGCCTATATTGGTTCAAAGTTATGCGTCTATGTATTTATGTCTTTTTAAGATAAATGAACCGTTTTGGTTTCCATTTCTCAACTGTCCAGAGACATGGCACAAAGAAAGAGACATATTTTTGATGATCATGACTTTTTGGTATATGCAGTTTTCTCTGACGTCTAGTGCATTTGTTTGCTTAAATGGCGATGAGAGGAACACAAGTTAAGCACATTGAGTCATCAACGCTCTATTCACAAAATTGCATTACTGGCATCTACACAATCCATACCATGTTAACATAGGCAACTTGTCTTGCTGCATCAAATCAACTTAAACTCATAGCCTGATCTCCTTAGCAATTCATTCTACATCATTGCAGCCTTTTGCTGCATTATCTGACCAGTCCCAAACTTTTTCGTTCAACAATTATAGGTTGCCTCCTGCGGAAGTGTTTCTTTGGAGTCTTCATACGAGAAAGTCAATCAATGTATCTACACATCCACTTTGTTGTATGAGTTTGAAGAACCAGGTTTGAAACCCATTGATGATATGAAATCATGCTTCCAGTGGAGACTGGCATATTCTGAGGTATGGCTGATTCTCTCTACCTGTTGACTGTGCCATTTCGTATATTTGCAATTTTGCTCAGACCTCTGACCTTGAAATTAAGACCATAGATCATGTTGATCTATTCTTGGAGTTGAGAACCTATACATTAGTTTCACTTCATTTATCTTGTTTGGTCTTTAAACTAAGTTCCTGCAGCAACGAACCAAATTGTGAAATTTGAATTCTATAACACGTTTATACTATCTGCTACAGTATGTATGTAGCAGTAGGCTGAAGATTACATAGATGTTGATCAATGAAACTTCTTGGTCTCTCCTGGTTGGTTACTATATAACTGGCTTGCTTGAGAAGATTATGCTGGCATCTTATCCCTACCATCGGTTTAGTTCCAACTCTATTAGCCCCAATTCTGCAAAAGCTATTATTGTTCTGTAGGATCTCTCGTAAGTGCCACATAGATTCTACTGTTACTGAATTTGTTAATTCCTCATAAGATAGTAACTTCAAATGACTTCAAATGTGAGCTTAGTATTCCAGCTTACACCATGAGGTGAGTGTTACTTTAATTATTGCATAACCACAAGCATGCCCCTATTCGTAATTTAAAAGAAAAAGGCAGCATTCTCAGAAAGAAAGCTGTCTCAAACTTACAAAATCAGACAAATTTCTGTGTTTTAACCTTTTGGTCTGAAGTTATGTCTCAAAATTCGTCTGGCAAAGAAAAAATCACATTGTACAAGACACTGCTCCCCAGGCATTTCCACACCCTCTAGCCAACCCCTGTTTCCATTACAATTTCTTGTTCTTCATCTTTCAGTATGCATTCTCAGCTGCATCACCAAAAAGTAAGCCTGTATAGCAGCCTAATTTGTATTTTAGTTTCCACTTTACTTTTTGTTTGCTTAATTGGGATGAGTTTCGTTCGTCTTCATCCCTACTTTCTTCCACGAATTAGTTGAGTAAGAGGAAGAAAATATTTTACAGCCTACTGGGCAAACCCGAATTTCAACAAACTGCAGCCCATCTTTGGCTAGTAGGTGTAATTTCAAGTCAATTATTTTTGCGGGCGTCCAGAGTGGACTTTTGGCTCAGTCTAACAATGTTAATCTCAGATCAGAAAGTTTGTGTTATATCCATTAAATTTGCCTGTCCATTTGGCTTTTGCTGCCAATGATATACCCAGAATGAGCAACTGGGTATATGTAGTAAGTATTGCTTTTCTCTAGCTGCTGTCGCCACAAGCAGCTTCCAGTACTCCTGTTTGTCCTTTACTGTTCTCCTTGCTCGTACAGATGCATAAACTTATCTAAAGCGAATAAGTGTGAAGTGATATGTTCAGGATTTCTCTTGGCAGAGATATTCAACTGACTTCTACATAACCGACAGAAGGTCTGGCATCAGAGCTCTGGTGAAGGCTGGTACTGGCTGTAAAGTCATTCCCTTGATCATCGAAAGTAGACTAGTAAAAACAACCAGGAAATGCAAGGTTCTGTCTTCCACCTTGGGGAAATGGCTTATAGAAAGAAACCTTTCTGCTGAAGCTCGTCTGTTACGTTTGGAAGAAGGGTAACACACTCCTCACGCGACATGTTGTTTTACCACTGTTGATATTCTGGTACCTAGACATATTTTTCAAGTGCCATGTACCTAATTATGGCAGATACATAAAAGAAGGCAGCTCTGTGAGTGTGATAGGAATGTGTCAAAGACAGAATGATACTGTGATGATTGTCCAACCGCAGGAGACTCTTTCTACAGGATGTCTGTGGCGGAAGTTGTTGCTCCCTGTGGATGTTGATGGACTGTTGTTCGGGGCACCCAATATGGCAGATCCAGCTTCTCACTGAAATGTTTCGCAACCTTTCGATTAGGATTAAAGAGCAGCGGATTACATTCTGACGCAGTTTTTCTACACTTTTTTCTCTCTTTAATCTCTGGTTTTTCATCTTTCAGCGGCCTGGGAGACTGGATTTGACATCTGACCTTTATATGTTTGGTACAGCCAGGAATCAGGAGAGGGGCAGGAGGAGTTGATAGTGCACCAGAGCAGTGTTAACTTTTTAAACAGGTCCATATTTGTCACCACTGACTTGTTCAATTTTGTTTGTGGTATTTAGCAACGGCTCGCGTGAGCCTATATAGTTTTGTATTTAATTAGACATGGTGCAATTTGAATCTTAAATTTCAAATCTGTATTAATTTTTCCACCAACCAAACCAAGGGACCTTGTACAGAAAGCTAGACGTTTCCTCTCTCTCATGATCTCATCGGTCATTTATTTAATTAGACATGAAATAATCCTTATCTCCGACAAAATAAAGCAGTTTGATTCCAAGGAGTACAAGCAATCAACCAGCAGCATTCGGTGTCAAAGTATTATCAACTCTCAAAAGCTTCAGAGTTGGTGACTGACAAGTGACAAACCTTGTTCGCGTGTAGCAGTAAACTTGAAAGTGATTAACCAGTCGGGGCAAATAGCTGGTTCCTCAGGCAGCATAACCATTCCTTTCCGCACAGCTTGACTAGACCTTTCTCCTCTTTTTTAATCAATATATTGTGATGCAATTATCATAGAACAAGCACACATCAGAGAGAACAAGCACACATCAGAGAGCGAAAAAGGATGGGTTTTTATCCCAGATATCCGCAGAATAAATTCTAACGCAGCAGAAAGAAATCTCACAGCGGGTCACATTATTGACATGCAGCAATCAGAATCACAGAACAAGCACATGAAAGAGAGCAGGAAAGCCCCCGGGGGGGGGGGGGGGGTGGTGGTGGTGGTGGTGGTGGTGTTGGAGAGAGGGCGAGAGATCTTGAATATTCAAATCCTCAAGATTACGGTTAAGCAAACAAAATGGTCCATATCTGGCTGTGTCAGCAAAAATTTTCGTAAATCCAAACAAGCACTAAAAGATGTAACACCAGACAAATATAACTCGTTGGCTCAGAACTCTGCAGCATGTCTACTTGATCTTCTTCTTTGGTCTCAACTGCATAATGAATAAATCTAATTAGTTACAGAATAGCACAAACCAGATTACAGATTCCTTATCATAGAGAAGAAAAATCATAGTAATATACCTGATTGCTGTGCCCGCATTTCTTCTTCCGGCAGTTAACAGCACGAGGATGCAAACGAGCATAGCATCTAATGCAAAAAATAATCAAAGAAAAATAATAAGTACTTTATCATACTAAGAGAGAAATGTTAAGAAGTTGTGAAGGAAAGGACCTTCGCAAACACACAATTTCTGCATTTGGCTTGGAAGACCCAGACCAGATTACAGGGATGATTGACTGAATTAGTTAATGCATTAACTTGGCATAAGAACAAATGCTACTGAAGAACTAATAAAACACTTGCATCTAACAATTCTAATGGTGATCCATACAAAGACATACATAACATAACTATTACAGGCTGACCAGTTGTGTGAGTGTCAGGTTGCAATGAATGTATCCTTGCAATCAAGTTTGATAAGTCAAAGCAATCAAAACCAACATATCATACAGCACATTTGGCAGTGACAAACAACTGGAAAAATACTTCCATGTGTCAGAACGCTACTAGTAAAGAACTTCTGTCAGAAAACTTTTGCTTCTTGAGTCAATTGGAATAAATTCTGTGGACAACCAAACGTCCATTTCTTGTAGCTTCCCAACAAACTTTTAGTCACAGAAAATCCTCAACACACAGAAGAACTGTAGCCCATGCATTCCACGATTCTCAATTCGGTCAACATCCTTAAAAAAAATAAAATAGAAATGCAACAGCAAACTTTGATGCTAAATGATCTAAAGCAGAATATTCTAGCATTTTGACTTGCAAAGAGTTAGAGATAACTTCATAAAAGACTCGCCCTCCATAAAAATAGCACATTCAAAAAGGAAAAGTTTAACAGGACAATTCTCACCATTGATTGCCCTTAAATTTCACAGCTAATTACTTCAGACATGCACAATTGATCTTAACATTCATTCTTTGAAAGCGCTTTTTTGCCACACAGTTTACCAATCTAAACAAGGTCAACTAAAAGACAGAAATCAAATGTGCCATATAGTGACATAACTATTCAACAGTTCGTTGTTGTCCGTGCCAAGATAAAAACAAGTGGAAAGCAAAACGCGATCAGATAACAGACAAAAGGTAGTGGCGGAATAGCAAAAGAATGTTGCATTAGTAAATAGCTAGGGTCCATTAGCAAAGGTAGCGGAGGAATAGCCAGAAAAGGTTAGTAAGAAAATGACGAACACAACCCGGATCCTCAGGTAGCAATAAAAATGCTTGGAGGAGAGGCATACTCAAAAAGGACCTAGGGTCAATTAGTAAGTCCTACTGTGTGGTGAAAAGACTGTAAAATTGGTTGAAGAAGGAAGCATAAAGGTTTGAAAAAAAAATGTCCTAGAGCTTAGGAAGCCCCACTAGAGCCATACCCCAGATTGACATTAACTTGGCATCTTTTTCTTTTTCCTCTTGTACCACACCTTGTTCCGTTGTTCCACAAGATAACGAAAGGAACTGCTCTAACAGTTCCAATCATTGATCAACTGCCCTAAAAACTAGTTCCAATCCAGTTTAGCCTCTCAACAAATAATCCAAATCAACAACGTCGAGAAATAACAGCAACTATTATACCAAGCCAACAGTAAATATTTTGTGGGATCACACTTGATCCATGATCCAGTCCCAAAGTAAGTTCAAAAGACCAACCCAACACCAATACATTAGGATATCTTGGGTAATTAACAATACAAAAAATAGCCGAAGGAAAATATCATCCACAACAAGGGAAAAAGAGAGAGAGAGAGAGAGAGAGAGAGAGAAGAAGAACGAAAGCTTACTTGCGGCAAATCATCTTGTCCTGATTGTATTTTCTAGCTAGAGCCATCAGAGAGGGCTCAATGATCCCTCCCCGCAACCTCAGAACCAAATGGAGGGTCGACTCTGCAAAAATTTTCCCACAATAAGCCCCGTAAAAATGCACAGATGAATTGGATCTAAATGAAGAAAAAAACAATTTACTACCTTTCTGGATATTGTAATCAGCAAGAGTACGGCCATCCTCCAGCTGCTTTCCAGCAAAAATCAACCGCTGCTGGTCCGGAGGAATCCCTTCATTTATTTATTTTCAAATATAGAAACAGAAAGCACATAAGAATATTATATTAGCAAAGCCTACACAATTGAGCAAATAAAAAATCTGAAAATATCAGAGAAGAGAAGAGTACAAGAATGAAATGAAAGCAAGAGTTACCTTCCTTGTCTTGAATTTTGGCCTTGACATTGTCGATGGTGTCCGAGGACTCGACCTCCAGAGTTATGGTCTTTCCGGTCAGGGTTTTGACGAAGATCTGCATGTTCTCTCAGCTGCCGCCGGCGGCTCCTTCTCCTCTTCCTCTCCCCCGCCCCCTTTTTTTTTTTTCTAACGCGACTTTTAGAACGCCGTTTCGCCTAGCCAGGATACTTATTATAGCGTGCGCCGCGGCTGAGAGTTAGGGTTTTAACTCCACACCTCAATCAATCAGTTTTGTTTGGGCTCTTTAAACAATCCAAAACTTCAGCCCATTTCATTTCACTGAAATAAACACTTGTGCTGGTCCATCATCCAATCGAGAGAGCTTCGGGCCCTCTCTCGCTTAAGTTTGCTTTTGTAAAATGCTTTGACACTTCCCCATTCTTTTCTCTTTCTCTATGTATTTATTTTTTTCGCCTATCAATCAATTGCATAATCCCACCAGTATCTAATTAGAGGAGGTAATAATATACTTCTCTTTTTAATTGCTGAATTCTCTCAATTAATATGCCTCCGTTTCACTAATTTAAGCATCACATTTTATTCCTTCCGGGGAAGGTAGCCCCCCGCCTTTTTCAGGCTTTCTTGTCGGCTGGACAAAGAGTGAAGTGATCAAAGACAACTTCAAGGAGGGTTTCTTGGGAGTGTTTTTGAAAAATTTTACTGCAGCAGAGTTTTTGGAGTATATTTTGAGATATTTTGTAGAAAATATTTTGAAATATTTAAGAGCAGTGGAGTTTTTAAAATATATTTTGAAATATTTTTTAAACTACTTTTTAAGAATTTTTATAGCATTTGAAAAATAGAAAAATATTTGACCTCAACGTCGTTCAGCAATACAAATACTGGTGTATCAATAATTAGTTGCCGTGCATGCTTTTGATTCACTTTTATCGTAATATCAAAGAGATGAAAGGTCCACTTCGAGAAAGAATTAATTGTTTTCTTACCTGTTTGATTTCTTCAACAAGCTTTTCATCTTCACTGCCAGATTATTAAGGTCCGTTCAGAATAGTTTCTTATTGACTTGCCTAACCTGCTCGACCGCAGAAATACTTCTGGGAAGACCGACTTTCTTTCTTGTACGTCAACATGTCATTTTCGTGGTGGATGTCAGATTATTAAGGTAAAGCTAATAAAAAGCCAATTACCCATGCCCACCACCGCTAGCGTCACCACCGATAATTTGAGTGAATACATGACTCACTAAGTTGACCTTTTTTCTTTTTTCGAAGGACAAGTTGACCTTCAATACCTCTGCTTTTTCCCAAATTTTTAATTGACTTCCCAGTCAACTGAGACGCCGTCGCTGCCACCTAATTAATCAAATCCCTCACAGTTGTGCAACGTGACGGCATATTTTTTTTTTTTCTTCATATGTTTCATCTCTATAAGTAAAATTAATATATATATATATATACTTTGTTTCCCGCAAACAAAAAACACTCAATAATTTAATTATTTGAGCCACTTAAATAAATTTAATTATATCCGTATGCAAGTTAATGAAATGCTGTGTGATTCGCCATCCTCCTGTGACTCGTTGGAGCGAGCGCATACTTCGAATATGCTAAAACTAGATGAGATGCCGTTCCATCGTATTCAGAATGAGATGAACAGCTCAAAAGGCGCAGTAAGAAACATATATAGTGACGTAGATGTCAGTTTGTTAGTTTTGACTGTGTATAGAACCAAAGTTGCAGCCACTAAGAATTGCAAATACATATCGAATCCTTTCAAAATCTTGGAACAATTGGAGCAGACAAAAGTTGTAGGCATGTACCAAATATGTATATGTATGTGTATCCTTTCCAGCTCCGGTCCCAAGCACGCAAAGACGTGCGTGTTTCCGCCCCAAAGAGGAAAGCTTCCGATACCTCATTGCAATCCAATCCGGCAGAAACACATAATTGAGTCGGACCCTTTGTACCAGAGCACACCTGTTAGAGTCCATCATCCTCAGCTCAACTATTGTGGTCAAAGCGTAAGTGGCTGGCTGTACAGATATTATATATCAAAGGTTAGAGGGAAAGGGAGGCGTGCCAACTTTGTGCATATATACATGTCATATACAGCCAAGTTGTAGCGGTGTATCGAACCCGAAAAGGCGCTTTTACAGAGGACCACGGATGGATGGGAACCTGAGACATATCCTCTAATTTGGTCGTAATTGTATGGCTCCAGATTCAGATTTTCTAGCGTCAGAAAATCGGTATCGATGTCGAGGATCTTTAGAGCTCCCCACCATTGACCGCATCCGAAACGGGTCAGAAAGTAAATCTTGGATCAGATTACGGCATCACATCCAATCATGCATGTTTTATAGTATTTGTTTAAAACACAAGTGCTTGGGTTAGCTAGGCAGCGTCGATCTTAAAGTGCTAGTAGCTCTTGGGTCGGGTGTTGCAATCCATTGAATGTCTTAATTAAGTGGCTTATTATTCTTTATTCGTTCTATAATCGTCTGCACGCCCAGCAACCTGTTAGCATTTGAATATCTGCTGTCTGTGTGCATAGTGCTGCGCGTTCTTTTCTTCTTTTCTTTGTAAACAAGTTATATTCATATATTCACTGTTGTGGAATTAACTAACCACACACAATCAATCACACCATGCAGCAGCGCACCCGGGGACTTTATTTGGCATACAATCCAATAATTTCCTCGAGGAGGAGTGCTTGCTATTAACGTCATTAATTGTGGCTCTCATTGATGGTCTCCTCCTCAATAATATATGAATATCCCAAGAACCAAAAACAATAATGAATACTTCTTCTTGTGTATTGGCCATACACAAGTAGTTTCTTCCCTGTCGTCGGACCAACGATTGGTCCCTTCAAACTCAAAATCTTCTTGGTTGGAACCTCGAGAACGTACGTGGGTCTTTTCAATTCCCATGATTTCTGCTCCTCAGTCCTCACCATATGGACTTGAAATGGTATATGCAGTGCAGTCATACGGAAGTGATCAGTGACAAGCAAGTTTCAAATCAATTAAAGGGATCAATGACTGTAGAGCGTTTTGTTTTGTTAGGAAGGTAAGAACATGCGCCTGTTTAATCAGTTTTGTGCTCCCTATCTACAACATGTGGTTGAAAGTAAAAGTATGCCGTTTCTTCTTATAATTAAGTTGTTTGATGAATTAAAAGCAGCATAAGGAAATCGAAATACAGCTAAAACTCTTTCAATCCGGCTCGGGGGAGCACTTTAGTTTTGAACATTCAGCTGGTACAAACCAAAACGATCGAGATACATTCACTGGCTCGGGGGAACTGCAGGAGGAGAGATAAAAAAAGGTTGGATGCGTCTGAAACGCAATCAATAATGGTGTACAGTGTTCGTGCTTTAGCTACCACCATTCTCCACTAAGTCTTTGGATGCTAGCTTACACACAGCAACATGAACGGACAGGGGGGACTTCCTCCTTTTGATTCATTCAACAGCGGAATCACATGCCGCCTATCGTCGTTGAGGTAAGATTACATGTACTTATTATATACCTCCGCCCAAAAACACAAAAAGGAAAGTTCCGAAAAAAAAAAAAATAAATAAATACACACCACCACCACTAGTAGTAGTACTTCTGATGCAGCACTAGCAGTCATTTGATCCAGACGGCCATAATTTTTGGTTGTTTCCAGGCTGGGGCTGCAAAAGATTCATGCATACCCGCGCGCGAGCGTTGGTGAGTTGACTTTATTGATCATGTTTTGATTAATTTGATGAGTTAAATATACGAATACTCAGTTCATTCGTATCCGTAGGCACCACTTGTTTACTGACCCGATGAGAAGAAGAGATGCAACTCATATGTGTTTTTTGGTGTCACGCCATGCATCCGGCGGCTCATCTTCGAACAAACGCCGGTTGGTTGACCGGTGAGACGTAGACCACACTCTCCATCCCTGTGAGTGAAAAGGCTAGCAAGCACTACTACCGACAGCTATTAATTGTATCGGTATTCATAATTATTTGTTGTGTTGTGACCTGTGACTTGTGAGAGCAGAGGGGAGAGTGGGTGTTTTGTTTTGGGGGCTATGGATTTATTCTTGGGTTCTCTAGGGACGCGTGTGCAAGCTTCGATAAACGGGTACTCAGTCTTGTCAACATCACCACTGTCCTGCTTCCACCCCTAACCGAAACGTGGCGGTTTGAACAACGATTCGATGCGCCTCCCCCCTCATTTTGGCTGTTTAATCAGCCCAGGCACCCGGACCGGACCAGCTCTAATTTGTTTCTCGTTTCCATTTCTGATCTGGGTGCAGAGCACAGTGGCACACCGGCTCCTTTATTCTGCCATCGGGGCAGTGTATTCCCAGAGGTTAGAGACAGTGTATTTGAGGAGTGAGGCGCACAAAACAAAAGTGGGCATGCCCTACACCTAATCCCCCGACAACGTCCCGCCAGAATTACCCACACGTGTCATCCGTCTTCTCTCAATCCAATGTTCCAAGTCCCAAGTTTCGGTCCTCCCAACTACGCGCTCTTTCACCGCACGTGCGATTCATGCAATCCGGGCTTCTTCAGATTTATTTCACGGCCAAAAAGCCACCACCACCACCACTTACTACCGGACGGGCCTTCGAAATTTCTGCTCGGAAAGAGAACGATCTAACAGACTAAAGTGTTTCTGCTGATATTAATTTCCACTTCAATTTTATTCTTTACTTTTATTACATTCAGATGCTTCAATCCAAACAGGACCGATCTTTGAGGTAAACTTCAAAAAAAAAACAGATTTTCCATCCTGGAAAAAGGAAGAACGAATCAGAACCTTAACCCTGTGGTCAATGGAACTCGTGTTTGAATTAGTCGTAGTATCTGTACAATGCCACGTGACAAACAGTGCCCACGACACAGGGTGACCTCATCAACATAAGACCTCCTCCAAAAAAAAAATCGCAGTTTAATTAGGTAAATGTAAAATTTAGTAGTACCACTCCGCCACTAGGCATCGCGAGTAGTAAATCTCTTACGCAGGAGAGATGAAGAGAGCACGCAGTCTCTCTAGCCAATGCGTCGTGCTTCCCACGCTCCAGTGGTTCGCTGTTTGCTCTTTCCACTTTCGTCATGCATTCGTGGCCGCGCCGCTAAAGCTTTCTTCTCAATTTCCCCGCCCTCCTCCCCATAGTTCTCAGTGCCCTTTTACTACTAGTACGACTTACTTTATTTAATTGGCCAACACTCGGTGTTTAAAGGGAAAATAAAAATACATGATTCGCAGTACGTATTAAAATGAATAATACGGATGGGCCCCCCCAACAAAAAAAAAAAAAAAAAAAAACCCAAAGTGCTAGTACGAACAGTTCGCTGCCGTCCCTATATAAATCAGCTAATGGCTTTACGTCCATGGTGTGCCCATTGCCCAGATACTCATACGCTACTACTACTACTATTGCTGCTGCTCCCTCTAAGAGCCTGTGAGAAAAATTTTAAGAGAGCCTCCTCCATAGTTTGAACGCTTAAACAAACGAATCACGCACACTAGTGTGGTACATATATTCCCATATTTTCTTTCCCCTCCAAAAAAGAACCCCACAGAACAGAACAAAACAAAACAAAACAAAAATTTGGTGCTGCTGAAAGAAAAAATACTTACGATGAGACGAGACATAGAACGGCAGCTTTGGTTATTAGCTCCTCTGGCCTCAAAAAGCAAATCCGTAACTCCCGCAAATGCCATATGTTTCTTGTTTCTCGTCGTCCTAGTGTATCTAGTCATCAACTTAATCTACTGGGCTCATCCAGGTGGCCCAGCCTGGGGCAGGCATAAATGGAGCCGGAGGAGAAATGCTTCTAGCAGTCGCAGTACCAGAACTGCCACCACTAGTACTGCTACGGTCCAGCTCATGTCCCCGTGGAAGAAGCACTCTCAAATAATACCAGGGCCAAAAGGGCTTCCTTTCATAGGAAGCATGGACCTCATGGCTGGGCTTGCACACCACAAGATTGCGGCCGCGGCAGCTGCTTGCCAGGCCAAGCGTCTGATGGCCTTCAGCTTGGGCGAGACGAGGGTGATAGTGACGTGCAACCCGGAGGTGGCGAGGGAGATATTGAACAGCTCAGACTTCGGTGATCGTCCCATGAAGGAGTCGGCTTACAGCCTTATGTTCAACAGAGCTATTGGGTTCGCTCCTTACGGGGTATACTGGAGAACCCTCCGAAGAATCGCGGCTACGCATCTGTTTTGTCCCAAACAGATCAAAGCCTCGCAGTCCCAGAGGTTCGAAATAGCTTCCCAGATGGTGGAAACGATGACGAGGCGTGGAGGAAAAGAAAGCGTGGTCCCCGTCAGGGATGTGCTGAAGCTGGCTTCTCTTAACCACATGATGTGCTCTGTGTTTGGAAGGAAATACAGCTTGGTGCTGCGGGAGGGGGAGGAGGAGGAGGATGGTTCCCACTCTGAGACGGATGAACTCAGGAAGCTGGTGGACGAGGGATACAACCTTCTGGGTGTATTCAACTGGTCCGACCACCTTCCCTGGTTGGCCGATTTTGACTTGCAAAAAGTTCGCTTCAGGTGCTCCAACCTGGTTCCCAAAGTGAACCGATTTGTCAGTCGGATCATCGACCAACATAAGAAGAAGGCTCAGCATCGTCATCAGGGCGATCAACATACCCAATTCGACCGCGATTTTGTGGACGTTTTGCTCAACCTTGAGGGACCAGACAAGTTGTCGGATTCTGACATGATCGCCGTACTCTGGGTAATAATAATATATTAAGTTACAAAGCGCACTTGCAAAATTTTATTTATACATACTAGTACGTACCGGCTAGCTAGCTCGTAGCCTAGTACTGGTGCTACTCTAGAGGATTTTGTTCTGACGTTTTTCAAGACCAAAAAATTCAGTTATGATTTGCCCAGCCTTCCCGTCGTTCCTTCCATTTTGAAATTTCCCGAAAGAATCCGAAGGGGTTTTAAAAAAAAAAAATAGAAAGGAAAAAGATCATTTTGATGCCACTTCATAATCATAAGTAGTGGCAGTAAATTTAGTAGTAATACATAATCGAGTCGAGCTTGAAGATTAAAAGTGTTAGCGTTGCTGTTTTTGGCCTTTTTCTTTATCTTTTGCAATGGAGGGAATCGGAAAGAGATAGTTGCTACAGAGTTTGATTAGTCCTTGTCAGCCTTTTCTTTGCTTCCCCGATGATCGCTTTTATTTATTTATTTTTTTATACAAATTTAGCGTTTGTATTCTTCCTTTAGGGATTACGAGAATATTTCTACAGGAAAAGTCTTTTCTCAAAATTAAGTCAAACCACTTATTTCCTGGCCGATTAATAATAATTACTACAAATAAGTAGAGGATTAATTATTTTTCTTTCAAGAATTGGGAGTAAATTAATGGAATTAACTGTTCTGGAAATTTTAAAGTAGAGTCCAAGTCAAAAAGATTTGATCTTTTTGACCTACACTAAAAAAAAAAAAAAAAAAAAGTTACTTTTAGGTCAAGGGAATTACTGTTGTGGCACAACAGTGGTATTAGTATGATTGATGAGTTTGACGAAGTAACCGGCAGTTGTGTGTGAAGAAGTTGTGGTTGGGTGTGTTTGTAACTTTTGTTGAAGGAATTCTCTGTTGTTTGTTTGTGGGCAGGAAATGATATTTCGAGGTACGGACACAGTAGCGGTATTGGTGGAGTGGGTACTGGCCAGGATGGTGCTTCATCCGGAGGTCCAAACCAGGGTCCAACAGGAGCTGGACCAACTCAGTGGCGGGGGGACACGTGCCTTGGCGGAGCCTGACATCGCGGACGCCGCATATCTGCCGGCGGTGGTCAAGGAAGTACTTAGGTTGCACCCCCCGGGCCCGCTCCTGTCCTGGGCCCGTTTGGCCGTGACGGACACCACGGTGGATGGTCATAGCGTGCCGAGGGGGACCACAGCTATGGTAAACATGTGGGCCATCACCAGGGATCCACAAGTCTGGTCGGACCCCCTGGAATTCAATCCCGACAGGTTCTTAACAAAGCCGGAATGCGGCGGGGGCGGGAATGCGGCGGGGTTGTGCGTGTTGGGATCAGACCTGAGGCTCGCACCGTTTGGGTCGGGCAGAAGAAGCTGTCCCGGCAAGGCCCTGGGTCTCACCACGGTGACCTTTTGGGTGGCTTCGCTTTTGCACGAGTTCGAATTTGAGTTTGGGGGAGAGGGTGCGCCGGATTTATGTGAGGTGCTGCGGCTGTCATGTGAAATGGCGGAACCGCTGAGGGTGAGGGTGCGACCCCGGCGGCGGTTAGCCTGAGGCTTGAATCGATGCCGGTCGCTCAGACACACAGTCACACAACGACACCAAGTAGCAAGCACCTTGTTGGCAGACCACCACTACTCCTACCAATAATAATATGACAAAGCGGTAGTAGCACTACCATAAAATGTCTTCCCCCAAACCCCTCCCCCCCTTTTTTTTCTCTTAATATACTTCGGTATTTCTACAGTTACTTGGTTGTACATAAATCAGCATCTTAATAAGTATCGGAATGCAATAATGATTTCTCATTAAAATGGTGAAACTTTTGTAAACCCCTCTTTGTCTCCACTCTGTTTTGTTTACTTTGCTCTCCACTACCATTCTATTCTTTCAGCAGCAGCAGCAGAGGGAAGACAAAGAAGGAAAAAGAAAAAAAAAGGTTTGACTGACTAAATTGCATGCATGGGCCTGGAGGGTAAATCGTCGTGTGCTTGAAGATAGAGAGTTATGAATTACTACTATTATGAGTTATGAGATCGTGCCCCTTGCACCACACTAAAAAAAAATATATATATATATATATATATATATATGTGTGTGTGTGTGCGTGGAATAAATAAGCTGATCATCTCTTCATACATATATATATATATTCTGAATGAATTTAGGTGGGACAAAACAAAAGAAAGCAACTGATTTAAAAGTACGGAAGATGATGGGCGCGAATGAGGAATTTGGTAATGTGGGAGTTTTTGTCTGTTAGTTGTCCAGGATTATATAGGATAGTTGAAGAATCATTCAAAGTCAACGATACTTTTTGCCCGCTTCTTTTAATTCACAACCCCACTTGCGTCCTTCAAACATCC